ACGTGTGCTCTTCCGATCTACACGCAGTTTTGAAAACAATTACGTTCTTTTATCAAAAATTTAATTTATTACCAATCGATTGGTCAGAAAATATTACATTGGAAAACACACGTTTTGCTTTAATTTTGCTTTTTATTTTTAAAGAAGATGTAAAACTTTAAAAACGCTGGTGCGAATTCGCACTCAGGTGTTCTTTACGGATGTTCAAAAGAGGCATAGCCTTTATGGGTTAATATTCTTGTTTTTTTATTGAATAAATGTATATGTATATACATATATATATGAATTATTGGATTTATGCTTTATTTTTCATGGCTTTTGGGAAACTATCTTCAGCATGATGAGGTTAAATATAACAATAACAATATTAACTGGCCATAAATCTTAACCATTGATTAAATTTAAAGAATCCCTAAATGACAGATTGCATTTCAGGTATTCTAATCGATGAGGATTGTTTAATAAGAAGAGAATGTGAATGCAATTGTCCGACCAATCATCAGTGTCTTCAATTGTCTCTGACGCCCTTAGACTGTATAAAGGACCATAACAGTATAAAAAACGAATATTATTGGCAAAATATCTGTAAATGTTCAAATTGTACTTCAGAAAAGTCTCAAATTGCAAGTATTGATCAATCAAAAATGTTTAATTTTGATGCTATTCAAGTAATGAAAAATGAAAAACTGCAACAATTACCTGAAATGGTAAGTAGAGAAATTGTAAAAAACAGTAAAGAGATTATCTTTAAAAAAGAAAAAAACATCTCAAAAAGGAATCCAATTAAAATAAATGATGTAAAAAGTAAACTTTTAATTTATAATCAAGACATATTTTCTGAAGAAAGAAAAGACATTTTAATGCAAAGAACTTTGAAAAAAGATATTATTAATAAAGAAAATAAAGAGGATAATCAAGAAATTTTTGAAGGAAATAAAAAAGATGTTTCAATGCAAACAATTTTAATTAGATTTGACAAAGACAAAAACAAAATTTTTAAGGACAATCAGAACTTTTTTTTTAAAGAGGCAGAAGATTTATCAGAAATGATTAGACTAGAAGAAGAAAAAGCTGATATTTTGAAAAATAGTCAAGAAATTATACACGAAGAGACAAATAGCGACTTTTTAAAAAGAAACATGATTTGGTTAAATGAAAAAAATGTTGATAATTTGAAAAACTGTCAGGGAGCCATCTTTAAAAAGGAAGAAGAAGCTTTAGAAAGAAAATTAGTCAAATTATGTAAAAGAGACAAAGACATCTTGAAGAATCATCATATTTACGAAGAACAACTTGCTTTTATAAAAGTTAAAGAAAACTCTAACAACATTAGAAATTTGATTAAGCATGCTGTATATAAACCTAAAAAGGAATATAAGAAAAGTAATGAGTTCGCAAAAAAAAAAACATGCCGTGAAAAAAAAAGATTGCATAATAAAAAGTGTCATGTAGTAATAGTAAATCAAAATCAAAAGAATACAGAGAAAAAAATTTTTATGAAAAAAGAACAAAGTTTTAAAAAAAAATTTAATAGAAGTTTGAGTGATGGTCTTTTAACAATAAATGATAAAAGATCTTTTAAAGAATCCATAAAAAACAGGAATAACAATTCAATTGTATCAATAAATCAAGATAAGAAAATTCGAAAGAGTGATCCTTTCTTAATTGAGCACAACTCTTCAAAGAAGCGTCACAGAAATCTTACTGATTATTTGGTCATGACAGAAGATAAAAGATCTGAAGACAATGCAATTAGCAAAATAAAGAATGACAGAATATTGAAGAGAAGCCAAAAGTCTTTGCAACAAATTCCCAAGTATCCTGTTGAATCTCTAGATCACTTAAACAGAAATTTAATTTTTGGACAACAATTAAAGTATGATTTTCTTAGTTGGGAAAATAATAACTCTCAAATGAAACAGCACGATAACATCAAGATTGAGAATGAAAAAACTCTGAGAAAATCTTTATCACATCGTCTCGCCAAACAAGACGAATTTTATTCTAACGATTTTTGTTCACTGGTCTCTCCAGTTTACGATCTTCCGCCAGAATCAGATTTTTGCGAAGGAAGTTTAGAGAGCAAATGTGGGGAGCTATTTATGAAGAATATGTTGAAGGATATTGAGAACACTAATTCTGTAGGAAGCAATCTATCACAAGATATAATTAGCAATGATGGAAGTCCAAAAGAATGTATTAAAAATGATATTATCGAAATAATTTCTACAAATAATAATAGTATCAGAGAAAATGAAAATATATTTTCCTCACATCCATCTTTTAAAAATTCTATTGATGATAGAAACAATTTAATAAAACATGATGATGCTTCAATTATTAAAGAACAAATTGTAAGTGTAGAAAATGAAGAACAGAATATTCACGGAGAAAAAAATAAATACAGATGTTTAAGTGCATCTTCTAGAAAATTGATTAGCAATTTTGATGAAACAGAAAAATTTTCTTCAAATTTTCTCGAAAAACAACTTATAAAAAAAAGCTGTATTCAAAATATTGATGAAGAATTATCGTTACAGAAAAGCGGTTTGTTAAACATTGATGCGTCTTATAAGCATTTTATTAGAAATAAATGTGATTCAGAATAGTTTAATGACGTCATTAGTGTTGAAAAACAAATTGATCACAACATTACAAAAAATAACAATGAAAGAAAAAATAGAGATTTTTCAAATATATAAATACATCATTTGAATATGTTAACAATATTGTTGCTCTAGAACACTTGGAGCAATATAATGTCTTAACAAAAGAACAAGTTTACTGCAACAATAAGAAGGAAGATGAGAAGCAAATTAATTTGCAATTCTTCAAACAACGATACGTCATATACAAATTTTGTTAATGATATTATTAATCTGGATTCAAGACAGTGTGATGATTTTATTTTTAAACGTCAAGTTCATGGTAAGAAGATAAATGATAATGATATGGTAATTAAAAAAAACATTAAAGATTATTTTGTTTAATGATTAAAACGATTCTAAGGTTATCTGATTTATCGACCGAACGTGATTATTTTTCATGATAAAATAAACATAATTAAAGGCAACAGATTTAAAAATCCTTCTCCACGATTAAAGTATAGGCATCAATGTAATTCCGGCTGGTAGAAATTATGCTGAGAATAAAAAAAATTAAGAAATTTAAATCTCCTTTACCTCTTCTTCCAATACGGCGTCTGGAGCTGTCAACGTGTGCTAGATAGCACATGTTCGTTTGTTATGTATTTCTTAAACGTATCTAATGTTTTGTAACCGTTAGCATCAATAAAAAACGTTTTAATGTACACCAATAAGAAACGTTTTTAAAATAATAATTTAAGAAACGTATTTTTTACGTGTTTGTAAATAGAATCAAAATTAATTTTTTAATTAAAAATTATATATATAAAATATATGTGTACGTACATAAATTTATATATACAGGGTGGACCATTTTAATCCATCCAGTCGAATATCTCGAAAATCAAGCCCAGGAAAGAAAAATTTTTTAGACAAAAGTTGTTTGGTTTCGAAGGGACCATAAGATGGTACCATTGGTTT